AACCGAGCCGCCCTTTGACGGAAACACATCTAGCTTCTGCTACCAACGCACGAAGCACTTCTCGCAGAACCGCCTCTCTACCGATCTATACTCCGACAGAAGTTAAACCTAATAAAGGCCACCATTGGCGCAACCTACTTACCTCCGAAACACTTGCCAACGAATTTGTCTCATACCTGAAATTCCTAGGCTCTGAAACAACTCGCACCCGACCCACCACCAGCCCAATCACACCGCTATTTTCAGCCTAGTTTTGTGGCGCGCGACAGCCAATATCACCGCGCTCGAAAGCTCTATTTACCGAAATCTTCACCACTACGCGGTAAACCGTGCTCTATGGAGCTGTACGGCTTGCGAAGTGTAGCTCTTTGGACGCTAGGAGCTCACATTCCATTCTCATCCTAACTTGGGATTCTCAAGTGACTCACTGTAACTGAATGTCTCATCGCATTTGATGTGTTTCACGTTAGTTCATTATTCTCAATGTCTTTTCATCACTCAGCCTCACCGCGACAGGTAGTACGGTACGGGAGAAGTCGCTGCTGGTCAGTCCAGAGTTCGGACTCCATATGCAAATTGCATAATGCAATACAAACTGCTGTGTGACTGACGGAACCCTTCTGCTCTGTAGACTTCCATGGAAAAGATAGCTTACCATTGCGGGTGCTTCAACCTCTGGTTTACGGGACCAGCAACTCATTCTGCTAATCTTTGCACCACCTTCTGAAATTCGTCGTATTATTCGATGTATCATCCATTGTGTCATTCTCCGCGGAGCCTCCGAACCTCAGCCTCGCATATCCTTCCTCCATGCAGCAGTATTGTAGTTTTTGTCTTCATCCCTCGGTCCATCCGAATGCAGCTCATGGACCGCAAGGAGCTTCACATCTTGCCGCACTTCGGCGAGGACATCTATTTAGCCTACGGAGGATTCGTGTTCAAGGAGGATACTCCTGGCCGATCCCCCCCGGGCACAACTTACTGGGCCTGTTCTAGGGTACAGCGAGCGACTCGTACCAAGTCCGCGCTCTACTGTCCGGCTCGTCTCACCGTGTATGGCGACATCAGTGGTGACGAAAACCAGCTGCTGCTGCTAAAGGCTCCCAAACCTCACGTATGTGGTCACCACATTGTGGTGAAGAGAATGCGGAGGGTCACAGGTTAAGGATGCGAATGGACAGTCTTGTATGTTCCGGTGCTCTGAGGCCGAGAGGCACGGCTGCCGATGTCTACGATGAGTTCACCGTTCAAGCGGCACAGGAGGTTCTGAGCCAGTTACCCTCGAGAGAGACTTGCCTTGAACATAGAAGGCGGGCTATGCAGCGGAATAGCCCGCGGCCTCCTGTACCGTGTTGCCTCTATGGTTTCGACATCCCCCCCAAGTACACGCGAGCTGCGTTCAGGTCTGAGTCCGGAGGAGCTGTCTCCGATGAGCAGATACTGCAATTCAATCCGGTCGTGAAAATACCAATCGTCACCTCATCTTCACCTCCAGGAGCCACATCGAGATGAT